TAGATATGTCGTCGAAAATATATATTTTTTTCTTTTTTCTTGTCGTACTTTACTAATAATATTAATTATTGAATATATAAATTAGAAGAAAATTTAATAATAAATAGAACAATAAAATTGATATTTATTAATAAAAAGTTAATATAAAATAGTCAACACAATAATAAGACCAGTCTTAAAAAGTAAGTTAATCAATAAATACTAAAAAGGGTTGATAATAAAAAAAATAAAAACAGATATTTTAATCCCCTAAATTAGCAGCATCGTCATTCTCATCCTCGTCTTCTTCGTTTTGCTCAAGCGGCGGAGGAACCAACGGTTGGGAACGGTTAACTGGCAAGAAGTTGATGTTGGGATTCATCGAGTGCATTGGACGTCTGTCGTGCAAGTATGTCTCAACATTAGACGTGACCGTATTTGCTTCAACATCAGGCCGATCAAATGTTACGTTGTCCAGTTCAGGTAGTTTAACTACTAATTCAACATTTTGTGATTCTGTGTCTTGAACTATTGTGACCTCGTCGACGTTCTCTTTTGGAAAATCCTATATATGTCTATGCCCAAAATGTTCCACAACTTTCCAATTTGGACCGTTAAATAAATCATCAACGTAAAAAACCTATTATGTCTGGGAAGCTAAAATGAAAGGTTCATTCTCATACCACGAGTCCTTAACAAAGATACTTATTTTATTCTTGTATTGTTCAATTCGTCTTCTTTCTGCCCGAGTGTCGAACCACTTACACTTGAAAAGGACGACTAAATTGTTGTTTATGTATAGTAATTCAATAATCTCTTCCAAGACTCTGTAGAAAACTTGATTATCTCACCCACGGACACAAATGCCACTATTATGAGTAGTCCGGTCTTTGTCCCGGCTGTATGTTAAAATCTTAACTCCATTGACGACACAACCAGAATAAGACCGAACAGAGAAGCTAAAACTAGATGATAGTGAAACCAGTTGATTGGTGGCTTCTGGAAAGTTAGATTGTCAAAGATTATATATCTGCAAAAATCACTAATTAGACTTGTTATTTAAATTTGAAATGAAATTCAAATAATTTGATGTGCATACCTTGTTGGAAAACCAACTTGGAAATTCCCTCGCTTGAATTACATCAAACGACTATCAACAACCGCTTTCCGCCAAAACCTTAATGTGATCACTATTGTAGTGTAGTCACATCAGTGAATGATTAAATAAAATATAATACAAATAATATACAATTAAGTTTTATAGAGATATTCTTACTCAATGTATCGTTGTATTTTAAGATAATTGTGTAAGATGTACCACTCGGCCTTTGTCCGCAAGTCGTTATCTAACATGATCGGAGTCATCTTACCGATAGGTTGAATTTTTGTAGCGAAAACAAACAACTTATCACTATGCTCGGTATCATCATCAACCCAGTTTCTTTTTGGTCTATTAAACATCGTCTCAATCCAGTGAAAATACATTGAGCAAAAAGTTAGGGCCGCGGAAATGGATTTGTAGAGCACCTTTAAATGCATCAGTTTCACCAAAAAATTCAGTGACAAATACTTAGTACACCCTGGATACAATTCTGATAACAACTCTTTAAATTCATCGTGCTACGTACCACCTAACACCTCAGCTTGTACTTCGCTCGTCATATCATGATCAGAGTTAATTCCAACAACATCATGTATATCTGCAACCATCTCGTCAACTGATTCATTTATTGCATTGGTCGCAACATCGTCCAAATCTCTTTCGCCATGGTAATTCTATGTCGTATATAAAGTATTGAAACCATATTGGTGTATGTGTGCTATAACTGTTTCTATTAGAAAACTCTTATGGTTTAAATACCTCCGACAAGGACAACTTGTACAATCACTTTCATCAACATGGTCTTTGGCAATGTTGATAAAAGCAGATATCCCTTCTCAATACTGATCAGACAACCTGTTTCTCAGATGTATCCAACTCTTATCCATTGACATTTTAACTATAAAACAACAACACATCCAATCATTTCAATCATTCATGTTAATGTATGCATGCATTTCTATAAATCACCTTTACTCCAACCCTACAAGATAAGGCCCTATCCCATCTAGTATTGTAATTTATGTATTATGCCACGCATCCCACAATGCCTTTTTTTGTAGAAATTTCGGCAGCATCTTCCTTCAGTTATGCAAAGTGTGCTTTCAAATACGCACATCCAGAGAACAAAGAAAAAAACACCAAAATATCTACCAAAGACGCGAGTGAAATTGAATGACAAATACGTAAATGACAATACCAAACTGTTCAAACGAGACAAGTCAAGCACCGGTACTATGCACCGATTCTCGAACGGGTCTAAGGTTATTTCATGTATGAGCATTCTAATTAAAAGTATCACAAATAAACTTATATTCATACACACACGTGTTGGTTTTGTGACTATATAGTCACGTTGACCAAAAAAGTTTTATAGTTCTTATTTCAACTTTATAAAGTTTTATCAATTTTTACGAATAATTTATCCTATTATTAAAACGAATAATTTATCCTATTATTATTGCACTCATTATTTTTATTATCGATTTATTTATTAATTTTTTGGACTAGATTAATATAAATTTTCCTTATCATTTTTTTAAGTGCTAATGTTTATAATTAATTTTTAATTTACTTTCTATTAATGTGATTAAATCTTATTAATGAAATTCTTAAAATTAATAGGTTTTAATAAAATTTTGGGAGCATAACGACTTATTTTTCTTGTTATCTAAAATTTAAACCTATAAAAAAACAGTAGTTAAAAGATTTCGACATACCATAACTGTAAGATGTGCCACCCAGAATAATCATCAAAATTTTTAATCTTAACCTAAATCAAATTACAAGCAAATTTCATAAAATAACACCCTAAGAGATTCACACAAACTCATACTAAATTTCAACAATCTCAAAATTCATAATCCAAAATTCAAATTACATACTAATGCTAAAATCTATAAATCAAAATTTAAAATCTAAAATCTATAATCCAAAATTCAAACAACAAAAAACTCAAACATTTTAAACTAATAAGTACAATAAATATGCCAAAAACTTACAAAGTTCAAAACTCACTAAAACGGGGGCTGAAAACAACGGAATTAGGTGGGCGGAACCGAGCAAACTGCGACGGTAGTGACAGCGTCGGCGGCGGAATTTGGCAGTGAGGGCAGTGAGTTTGCTTTTTATACTTCTTTTGATGAAAAAATAATGAAAATGAATAAATGATAAATGATGATTTAGTAAGGATTTAGAAGGGAATAGGGGGAGGTTTGGGGGTTGGGGTCGGAAAATTGAGGGAGGCCAAGAGAGAGAGAGAGAGTGATAAAAAAAATAGAGGAGGAGGCTCTAGTCGTGGGTATATAGATAAAATTTTTTGCAGCGACATTCAACAACTATTTGCGACGAAATTATGCACTTCAAAGGAATTGATAGTCGTCGCAAATAATCCAATTAATCAAACTTAATTATTTAGTATTTTTGACGAATGTTCTGGAATTATTATTTGCAACAATATTATGCACTGTCGTCGCAATTAGTTTTTGAGAACTGCCCAATTTTACCGTCGTTTATTTTCACGAGGGAATACAAAATCAGCATTTGTGACGGCACGTATTCGTGTCGTCGCAAATAATTTTTAGGAACCGCCAAATTGACCGCCTTTTTACTTGGAGAATGATAAATGAATGAATTATGATTAGCAACATTTCATCGCAAATAATGTTATTTTGGCGGCAAACATTGGCGCCAGACAACATTTGCCACCAACAACATATTTGCGACGGCTAGTGAATTATTAGCGACAACATCATTTTTCCTGTTAAAGGATAAGTAATTGCGACGTTATTTCATTGCAAATAATTAATTATTTGTGATGACATGTGTCGTCGCAACTAATTTCGTTACAAATTGGTCAAATTGTAGTAGTGAAAAGTGAAAAAAAATCTCGTTTCTTTCTTTAAGAAGCACTAGTTGAACTCCACGTTCTATGCACGTGTAGAGTAATATTTGTGTTATGTTTTAATCACCGTATCATTATTATTTTTTAATTTATTTAATAATGAAGATCTTAGTTAGTTAGTCAGTTAGTTAAACTAACACATACATCTTTATAAATATCCATTAAAATAACAAGGACTATATATGAAAAAATTAAGCAAATACACACATGAAAAAAGATATGTAAATTTCAATAAGAATACTTGGTGAAAAACTATTTAAAAGAATTACATTAAAAAAGGATCACACTGCAGAGAATTTTTTAGCACAACAAGAAAAAAGCAAAAAACAAAAAAACAAAAAAACAAGCACAAACAAATATGAAAGAAATTATATTAATTGGATCAAAATAAGGAAAAAATCGATTTTAAAATCAGCCAACATAAACAAATTAGAGAGAATGCATGTATAAAAAATTAATAGTTACAATTCAATACAACCCAAAGAAAGAGAAATGCGTGTTACAATAAAGTTTTTTAAAATAAGTTCTAAGAATCAGACACATTTAAAAATATATAATCTAAATATAAAATCTAAAAAAGAAGTAAAATAGAAGAAAAAAAATTAGGGGAAGCAAAGAAGGGGGCGCGGGGTGCGGGGTTGGGGGGTAAAAAAGGAAAAAAAGGAAAAAAAAGTTACAAAATAAAAAAATAAATAAGTTTTAGGACATCAACATTTTTTGAGTCATTTCCCCATAGATTAAGAAACCAAAATGATAAAAAAAAAAAAAGAATGAACTTTTAGCGTAAAATTGAAAAAAAGGTCAAAAAAGTACCAAAAAAATTTAAAATGAAAGAGGAGAGGGGTATTTCGACAAAAATGGTATTATTTTAGTTGAAACGGAGTGTGAATAGGAAATGAGATTGTCTTTCTATATAATGCATAAGTAATTTTTCTTCAGAGTTAATGGTTAAACACCTTAGTCCTAAAATAAAAAAACAGAAGTCATTTCATTAGCGAAAAAAAAAAAAAGGTGATTTCCACACATTCTTCATACATGAACATGGTTTAGGACGCATAAGGAAATTAATTAACTAATTAATGCATACACACATTACAAACATCACCAAAATCAAATGGCCATACCCTCAGATCTTTTCCTCACCCTAACAGGCAATCCACCTTTCATTCTAAGAGTAAGAGCCATAACATACTCCGGACACGTGTCCTTATTCAATACGTCTATCTTAAACCTCTCAATCACGGATGCTACAATCGACTTCATCTGAATAAAAGCCATGTCTTTTCCTAGACACATTCTCGGCCCGGCATGAAACACCGGAAACTTAAACGGATTCTCTTGCCGGCAAACACCGTCTTCGAGCCACCTCTCCGGCCGAAACTCTTCGCAGTCTCTTCCCCAAATTGCCTCCATCCTCCCCATTGCAAAACTGCTGTACATCACTAACCAATTCTTTCCCACAAACGTGCCATCAGGCATTGTATCGTCTTCTAAACATTCCTTTGGGTCGACCGGTACCGGAGGGTAAAGTCTCATGGACTCCGAAATTGCCGCTTGCAAATAATGCATTTCTCGGATATCGTCAATGCCGAAACTCTCGCCTTTCTCTAAATATTTGGCAGTTCGGATACGAATTTCTTTAATCTCGTTGGAGATTTTCTGTTGTATATCCGGTCGCGAAGCCAGGACCCAAAAGAACCATGTCAAAGCAGACGACGTCGTATCTCTCCCGGCCAGAATGAAGCTGATTGCGATGTCTCGTAGAAACTCGGCCGAGTTCTCGTCGTTCCCGATGAACCGGGAAAGCAAATCCTCTGTGTTCACTTCCGCTCTTGTTTCCATTCTCGACCTTATGATACCGTCCGCAAATTTATGGACGGCGGAGATTGATTCTCTAACGCGTCTCTCTGATCCGACGTTGAAGAATCTCTTGAGCTTCCATAATGAAGGAATTGCGTAGAAGAACCTTCCACAGCTGAGCGTCGCCGCTTCTTCAAAAGCCCTCATGAAGTTGTCCCCGTCGCTGGAGATTTCATCTGAGGCGAGACAACCTGGATCGAAATTGAACGCCAGCTTGCAGAGATTATCAAAGGCAAATCTCTCGAAAACATCTTGTAAATTTAGAATCCGACCCGTTTCGGAGGCTTTGCCGAGAATTGGAACAAGCCTAGTCTTGATCTCGACGAAGACGTTTCGAATAATGAAGTTTCGGAGCGACTTGGTGTTGAACTCATAGCTCGCCGTCTTCCTCTGCCGCCGCCATATCTCATCGTCGGAGTTGAAGATTCCACTCCCGAGAAAATCGGAGAGAATAGTGGTGAATCTGTCGCCTTTTGGGTAGTTCTCGAAGTTGGTCTTCAGCATGTGCTCGACGTTCAAGGGGTTCGCCGTCATGATGCCGTTGAAGTTGTACGGACGGTGGAAGACGGCCGTGTTGGTGGGGCATTTGGAGGCTAGGATTTCAGTGCTCCATTGGAGGAATCGGTTGCGGTTGATTAAGAATTCCGGTAGGGCTCCGACAATTGGGTAGTTTTTTATGCCTGTTTTGACGACTCGCGTTTTAAAGGATGAGTATTGAAAGTAAAAGGAAACTGAAAGCAGAAGGATAAGGAGAAGCAAAAGGAGAGATTGGAGAGTAAAGTGTTCCATAATTGTAGAGAAGATATCATATCAATGGGTGTCTGGTTAATTGGTGTTATTTTATATTGGAATAGTTGATAAGTTAGTCATAGTGTCGGCAAGGAAAAAGGCTAGCAACGTCGGGTGATAAGTTAGTCATAATGTGGACAAGGAAAAAGGCTGGCAACGTCAGGACAATACAATTGGTGACAAAAATGATTATAGTTTACTTTTATCTTTTTCGAAATATTGAGATTTTCCTCTTGTAATTTTCTAATTATGCAAAATTCACCTTTAGGCTTTAGTGACAAAATTAACTTCGTAAAAATAGGCACGATTACTATTTATGAAAATGACGATTCCTGAAAGAGAAATACATAAAGGAAGCTGGTTATTTCAGTCGAACATTTTTAACATTTGATAATAGACTTTTGACATTTTTTTTAATGTTTTATTTGCTGATGCTTGTTAGACTTGTTGTGATAAAAATCAGATGCTAATAATAATAATAATTATTATTGTACGGGAAAACATGCTTTGACACATCGAACAATAATAGCGCTCCACGTGGCTCTGCAATAACTACGTCAGCGGAACCGTCGACTCGTCAGACTGCCGACCCCATAAAACCTCGGCGTTTATCTAACCCACATTGGGGATCTTGCTAAGGTCGATCGTGCTAGGATCGGCGCCTAGCCTTGTTTCATTTGGGAACAAGCAGCCGATTGTATAAACACACAACCAGCTGGAAGCCGACCGTATAAATGCGGGACCCCCAGAGATAACGTCTGAGTTTGGGAGATGTCTGTAACACATGTATTAATTACGGATCCCTGAACCGTCAACAAGTGGACGGTGGAAGGTTGCAGGGAGTGCAGAGCCGTAATAAGAGACTAATTAGGTGAATGAACAGTCCAAAAGGTGATTAGCTGGCTAGTGGTCTAGGCCCATAAGACAGTAGGCACTTGAGTGCTGGGTCCACAGAGGAAACTCACCTCCGGAAGTAAACTTGGGCTATAAAAGAGGGGCAACGCCCCGAGTTGAGGAGGGAGCTTCTTCTTTTTTCATATGTAATCAGAGAACGAAAAAATATATACAAAAGATACGGTGGATGTAGCTCTTGATTAATAGAGTGAACCACTATAAACTTCGTGTATTTATTTATTTAGGCATTACATTCATAGTTTCTTCACCACAAAGTTTACTCAAGCACCTTGCAAGTGTAATTTCGAATATACATCCGTATTAGACCGGTAACTTTACAGGATACCCAAAGTATAACCTGGCGCAATTCTGTTGATAAAATTCCACCGTCAACACTAATAATAAAACGAACGCCCACTTTATTTATAAAGGACAAATAGTTCACGTAATTAATTTATACCACATTTTATATTAAGAATCAATTTTGTATGATTAAAAATAGGAAATTAAACGTTCATTTTTCTAATGGCGCCGACTTTAAAGAGAGAAAAAGCGACTATTTATTGTCTCAAAAAAAAAAAAAAAGAAGAGTTGTGCATTAAGTTAAGCATAAGACTATCACTATCAAGCGTTGCAAATTAAGCTTCATTTTGCAAATTAAGCTTCATTTTGCAAATTAAGCTTCATTTTGCAAATTAAGCTTCATTAAAAGCTTCTAAGAGCAACTCCTACCACAATATATAATCATTTTATGTTTTTAGTCAAAATACATGATGATTTATTGTCATTACTTTTTTTTAGCTTTTCTCTAGTACAACCATTAACTAAATGGTTAGTTATTATAAAGAATGTTTTGCACACTAATTAAATATAACTAGCATAGAAAGACTAGTTATTTTAGTTTTTGTGTTTTTGTTATTCTTTTAACGGTAATAAATACAAAAATTATTGTGTAAATTCAATAAAAATATTTATATTTTAAATTTAATAAACATTAAAATAATTTATATTTAGATAAAATAGGAAGTGGGATTAGAGTGACTCACCAAAAAGTTACTAGCGAGAATAATTTTTTAGCCATTTAAATTAAAATTTAGCTAAAATTTAAAGAGTTCCATTGAGATGCTGTAAGCAATTAAATTTACATTTTGAACACTATAAGTAGATTTTTATTTTTTTTAATTTTTTAGCAACTTAAGTTTTTAAATTACTTAATAGTAGAGAGTAAAGAAAATCAGTAATGTTCTAAAAGACTATCGTAAATCAAAGAAAACATAAATCTTGCAAATTTTTGGAGAAAGATGCAAAATTTGGGATGTAAGAGGCTAGCTTTACATTTAAAGGGAAAAAACCATAAATACCACTACAAACGGTAAAAAATATTATTTATGACACTCCATTCAAAAATAAACAACTGTCATTCAATTAATAAAGAGAAAATAAAATGCCACAATAACACTTAATTTTTTAGAATGACATAAATAATAGGTCTACACAAAAACTATAAGAAAACACACTTTCCGCGACCAAAATTCTTACGACCAAAGAAAGGTAGGCCGTGAAAGGCCCTTTTTTGTGACGAAATTTTATGTCGCTAAAATTTTTGGTACCCTATAATATCTAATTACTGCCATGTTTTTCACAACTAACTAGTTGGTTACAAAAAAGTACCTATTGCGACTAAATTTAGCGTTGCCAAAACTTTTGATGACCTATGATATCGAAATTCCACTATGTTTTTCTACGACCAAATATTTGGTTGCAAAAATGTATCTTTTGCGACAAAAAATTTATTTGATTGCCAAAATTTTGACGCTGATCTAAAAAAGGAAGATAAACTAAAATCTGTGACCAAATTTTTACGGTTGCAACAGATGTCGGATTTGCTACCAAATATTTAGTTGTAGAAGTTATCGATATTTGTAGTAACCAAATTGTCATTGAACATTGGTTGCTAAATGTAGTGCAACGTATAATATTACTTGTAGAGACCAGATATTTGGTTAAAAAACCTTAGAATCTGTTTTTAATGTTATTGTTGACGGTCAGTTTTCGCCAACAAGACTTGACCAGATTACCCTTGGTGGCCCGTTGGATTACCGGTTAAAACGTGCAATTTAATTGGATATTCTAGAAACGGTGTTTGCGCTTTTGGTGTATTGTGAAGAGTATTTAATATTGTGCTTGAAGGGAAGTAAAAACGCACAGAAGTTTATAGTGGTTCACCCTTATGAAACAAGTGTTGGGAATAGTGTCCTATAAGCATGAGATGTAATAAGATATTTATTATTTAATTAATAAAAGAGTTTATTCATCATTTTATGTGCATATATTTATGAATATTTTATGAATATCAAATGAAAATTTCACGATTGTTTATGTAACCTTAAACACTGTATATTAGTGTTATATACGAGAGGATAATGTTTAAAGATAATAATCAAAAACATTGTTCATGATGAATTTAATTAAAGTTCATAATCTTTAATTAAAACATTATTAATAGGTGTCATTCCCATTTAGAATGGAACGGTGTTATCCGCACTGTTAATATGACGAGATATTAAATGAGTGTATTTCGCATAATAAGATTATGTGGAACAGGAACACAGACACAATATGAATTTCTAATAATTTCTGTTAAGCATAGAAATTCTAATTGTGTCTACTGATGGTCATATATAGGATGATCTTAATCCTGAGATCTTAATAAACTCCTATTTATGGATTTATCTCTTTTGATTTACTCGGTACGGATTCCGAGACCCTGAATCCTATTCCTTGTATTTTGGAGACATAATGAAATATGTAGCTGGGAATGTTATTATACGAGATGGAATCCATTCCTTCTTGAGAAAGAAGTAGATAAATAATTCTCTTGAGTGTTGATTCGGTACTTGGATTAGTAAGAGCGCTCTGGTTCATGAATGTGTTTTATGAATCACTATCCATTAGAGA